GGGGGGATAGTGGTGGTGGGGTCAGTCATGTAATGAACAACTATTATAATGGATCTTAAGTTACCCTTCCTCTCACCCTGCAAGGCAATGCTGGCATAAACAGCTATTGTTCCAGCAGCCCAGTACTTCCCAGGTTAAGACCCCACTCCCTGTTGTTCATAACTGCCAAAGTAATTGTCCAAGCTCAGTCCTTTCTTTCCAGGTGCCTACTTCCATCTAAGTATTTTTGGAAATGTTATTTAGACTCTGGTAATGCCTAAATTATGCTAGGCGTTTTCCAAACAAAGAGACTGTCCCTGACCTGAAGTATGTAACTTCAGTAATTTCCTAGCATAAGTGAATTTTAGCCCAAGTAGTTCTTTACTATAGATCTAATTTTACCTCCCCCACTTGTCCCCCTTTTTCCTCTTCAATGCTGCACCTATTTACTTCTCTATTTGGGAATTTGATGTTAAAACCTGCCATTTCCCTTCATATCAGCTCTGCTTGCTGACATACAAGGCACCATAAGTATAATTACTACTTGAAACACAAAGCTAAACTCAAATTTAAAGAGAGCAAGGGAGAGAGGGGGAGAGAAGAAAAGACAAATCAATAACTGGAGTATCTGTGAGAGCACACCACATCGTAAGTGGGCTGAATGAGCCTTGCGCTCAGCAAAGTGACAAGCCTCTAGGATTTGCAATTAGAAACAAGCTTTTCCGTAGAGCCAGTGTTCTTACTGAAAAGACAGCATGCTTTTCAAGTGCAGGATGAAGAGGTGCCCTTTAACTTGCTCTGTCAGATGGTGGAATTTTAAGAATTTAAGGCTGACCAAAGACTAGCCTGAGAGAAAGAGGGAGGTTGTGAAGAATCCTTCATGCTGTAACTTTATCCTGTCGGGGCAGATAAATCAGACAAGCAACCTTTCCCATGACCCTCCCATCACCTCTTCTTATATGATTTCCCAAAATTCTTCATTTATTAGTTCTGTAATTACTAAGGGAGACTTATTTCTCCCACAGAACACTGGTTTAAACTTGGGATGGCTACTCAATTCAGGAAGAGAAAGAGCAAGGCAGTTTGCTGAAGGACCATCACCACACCTCAGTACTGCAAGTTCTGTGGAGATAAAAACTTTTGTCTCAACTATTTCTTATCATCATAGGAAAACAGCAGTTATATACAGCAAAAAGTATCACACACTGCATAACAACCCACAGCAAACATTTCAAGAGATCGACTTTACATTTCCTGACCACTCTTTTTCCTGCTCAATAGATAATTCATTTAATGTTAGCATTTCAAGGAGTTGCAAACAATCGCAACTTGACATCTATTTCATATTACTTGGGTCACTTCCAGCTGCAGTCCCTGGTTAATAAAGTTCAGGCTTCCTTTCAGCTGACATTCTCCATAAAACTGTAAGAAGTCCACAGTAAAGAACTGCAAAAACATCCAATTCTTTCTGAAGACACTCTTTTCTCAAATAGAGCAAAAAGAACAAATTTTCTCAAATAGAGCAAAAAGAACATATGATGACACTTTATCTATGCAAAGAATCTCTCTAAAAAAACCTAAAGTGAAAAGCAACAGCAAAGTTACCATAAAAATACTTTTAATATACTCAGTTTAACATGCTGATTTGGAAAGTAATCCAAATGAGCAATGACTGTGCAGTGGTGTTCATCAGGAGAAAAATGCTGCATATTAGTGGAAAAGAAGATTCTATAAATGGTATGTGAATGTTTATTACTAGACTTATTCTCTGTGACTTTCTATTAAAGTGAAATTGCATCTGCAAATATCTGAACACTTACCCGTCCACCTGTTCCTCTCCCAGAATATACCGCAGGTTCTTCAAGAAAGACAAGGAGACTAATGCATGGGAATGACGAATCTTCACATACCCTGTTACTGTCTCAATCAGACCCATAAAATTCTCCAGTTCTGAGGCGATGTTATCTACATAAGAAAAATGTAATTTTATTATTGCAGAATTCACAGCTTTAACTGCTACTCTGCTTAATGCAGTATTAGCTTGGTAGAAGAAAATGTTTGTATTTGTTGCTTTTGAAAATGAGACACACTGGTATTCCTCCCCCAGGAACAGTTGCCTGTGCGTACAGATGGCTGAAGAGCAAAATAAAGCTACAGAGCAACAGTGGAAAACCAGTCTTGCTTTTCCATACTGGTATACCTGATTTTTCCATGGACACTGCACTCCAAAGCCAGCACCAAATGTTGAGCCAGCATTCTGCAGGGATAAAAAAACCTTTGTGTAAATGTACACATCCATGAGACTGGAATTGCTCTCCAGCTACAGAGCAAAGCTCAGGCAGAAAGCTCCACTGGAGGACAGAGAATGAGACTGAAGATCAAGAGGTGGAGGTACTGGTCGTCTTTGGGGCATAAAGGTCTTCAGTGACCTAAAGAGCTTTGGTTAAAAAAAACTGGAGAACTCTCGATGAAACAGCAAAGACAAAACCAGAAGGACATAAGGATGTCTTCATGTCACGAAGCATGGTCCATACAACTCACTAAAGGATGCTTTTCTAGAATGAATTATTAAAACAACTGCAGAGCAAGCCCTACTCTTCAGCACTGTCCCCTCCTTAGGAACTGTACTGTCCCTGCCTAGGTCTACAACACCCCATCCTTCACAAGGCTGGAGACGTGCAGTCCTTGCCTCCAGCAATCCCCGGCCCACACCCACTGTCATCCTGCAAAGTTACACTGCAGACACTGCAGTTGTGAGGGGAAGGTTTTAAACTCTCAGGATGGGAGAAGCTGCTACAGGATGGCAACAAACACCAAAAGTCCTAACAGATGCCTTAGAAGCCCAATACCAATGGTTGGTTCCCACACCATATAAGCTGGGAGGAAACAGATGCTCTTCAGCACACTTAAGATAATACTTTAAAAATAAAACAACCTACACTTGTCCCAGGTAACCGGAACATCTCCCATATAGAAGACTGTAGCAGTGGGATCACAAGTGAAATAATCCACATGCTGTTTCTAAACCCTGAAGTTTTCATTCAGCAGGAGGAGGGGAATCAAATGTATCTCAGTGTTTCAACCTTATTCATGAAACCAAAAGGGAACTTCCATAGGGAGATACACGTCCAATAAAAACTAACAGTGATTTTTACTCTGCTTTTAAGAGCTCATCAACTGTCAACACTTCCCCTGGCTGATGAATCACTGCTCTGACAAATTTAATCCAGAGCTTGTTCAAGACATGTGACAAAGGTGGCCAGCTCACTAACGATGACCATCCAGAGGCACAGTGCTATGCTTTATAAGAGCTCTCAGCACTTTGGATTCCATGTTTTAGCAAGACACCACGCCTTGACTTAAGAAGTGAGGATATGCAGACTTACAGTGTCATGTTTTACTTGCAGACAAGTTATTTACCTACCCAGATGCAAGGATTTTCAACTTCACCTTCCCAGGCCTTTATTATTCCTTTGGGACTACTGCTCATCTCTGCCTAATCCTGGTTCCCTGTCCTGCCAAAAAAGCTAACAAAAATACCAGCTTTCACTGCCTTTTATAACTTGGTAGCTTCTGAATACCTATTCCATCTGCGTGTTGAAGAATGGTGCTACTGTTGGCCAAATCAAACAGAAGTACTGCTATTGGATTGGAAAGCAGTTTGCTGAGGTTTTAATGTTCTTACTATGTTGACAGACAAAAGGAAAAATATTAAAAGCAGCCTTATCAGAGGTTCATAAAGAGAGGGCAATCACTTACTTCCACGACGGATGTTAATCAGCAGATTTCCCTTGAGAATTGTGCATCCCTGCAACATTTGTGCTGACGTGACAGAGTCAATGGTCTTCGTTTTCCCGTCCTCACAAATTTTGGGACAAGGCCCCTCACAAGGACTGCAGAACATGCTGTTAGAAAAGAAAGGGAGACGCAAAACAAGTCACAATATGAAACTCTTGAGTCTGTGGACAGCTTTGAGTTCAATTTTGAAAGACATTTTGCTCTAAAGCTTAGAGAAATTCTTCAAGCTAGAATGAAAGTTACCATACTTGTGCAGAGGGTTGCAGATAACTCAGCACACTCGCCCACTGGACTCCAGAGAGGCTGGAGCATCGTATCTCCCATTTAGAGCAACATGGGAGCGAAGGAACAGACCTATACCCCCTGTCTGCCAGCTTCTGAAAGGCTCTGCGGTCCTTCGGGTAAAACCCAGTGCCCTCACATTTGTTCATTTATTCTAACTTCATTATACCCAGAAAGACCACCCTTGCTATTTATGCAAACAGCCTCAGAGTGCTGTGAAGTTTCATGCTAATCCAGGCCCAACCTCCAAAAAGAGGCCAGCCAGGAACCAGAGATGGGAAAATACTGTTCAAGTTCTTATAAAGTTGTCTGTCTCCGTGCCCTTAAACCAACATTTGAAGCTCAGCACAAGGGAATTCTATGCTCCTGGCTGGTTTAGTTCGGGAAAGACAACTGTGGGAGCATATAGGCATGAGTGATGTGGAGAAAGCGAGCACTGAATTAGTCACTATTTCTTATAGCTTAAGATGTATTAAAGCAGCAAGTTTAAACAAAGAGAAGCAGGCATCTTGATGCAAGGCAAAACTAATTTGCAACAAAAATAGGGAGAGACTGGCCAGAAGTCTAAGCAGGTTCAAAATGGATTACACAGATGGAGAGAGAACAGGTCTGCCAGTGACGTATAAAACACCAAGACAGACAAAGCCCTGAACTCAAAGAAATTGGATTCCCAGAAGCTGGGAGGAAACACTGAAGCACAGGCTCACTTCTCCTGCTTCTTATACTCACACTCACAGAAGTGTTTTTTAGTGGCCCAACTCAAGGAACAAGAACTCAGGCCAGCCTAGCCTTTGGTTTTAAAGGCTCCATGTTATACTGTATGCATACTCTTCTCCAAATGAACACTTCACGAGTGCACAAAACATGCCCTCTGATCAATCCTCCTGGTAAGTATCTTTCCCAATTCAAGGTAATTTTAAAATTTTCAATTCATTCTAGCACTTTCCTTCGTATTTCATTATTACTTACTCCACATTATCTCTTTAGAAAGGAAAAATGAGAAAGAAAAAAAACAACCCCAGCTCCAAAGATGAAAGCTTTTGATGGCAATGCTGACAAACATGGACTTACTATTTATTCTTTTTTGAAAGAAATTGAACCCACTTTCTTCTGAGGCTTAAAGAAACATGTAAATTGATAACAACAGTTTTTCATGCCTAAACAATAAAAGCAAGAAGCTTCCTTTTCATAGTAGTAAGCACCTATTTCAAAATCCTGCACTGCAACATGCCACAAACCACTAAAAACTGCAGACACAAGCAAGAGGCATTCAACTAAACATACAAAGAATGATGGAAATGTTTTCCATTTGCAACTATTTGTTAACACCACCTCTGGGGAACAAAACATTCACTAGCCTTGAGTTACAGCTCCTTTCAATCTTTGCAGCAGAGCACAACGCTGAGATAAGATAGGATGGCCATGCACTTCAGTGTAAGTGGTTCAAACAGCTGGTACTACAAGCTCAAGTAGATAACAAAAGAAACATTTCTCAGGTGGATATCTGGATTTGAGTAAAGACAGTGTTAAGTTGCTTACATCCAAATGTCAACCAGAGACTGCCTTACTATTTGATCGAAGGGATGGATGACACACAATCACAGACACACCACCTGTGCAGGTATCATCAGAGCGACCTTTCAAAAACACCCAACATCTTAGAACAACCTACAAAAACATCTTTGTAGCATAGTACTGAAGCACTATGAATTTCAGCACTCTGACTATCCTTTACTCAAAAGTCCACAACATCCAAAGGTCAGCAGATAACTGAGGCTGCTTGCTTAAACCACTGGTCAAGTAAGAAAATCATAAGCATGCATCACTCCAACTATTATAATTAAATAAGAGCAGGTGAGTGACATTCTTCCAATAAATTATTCTGTATAGCACTGTCAGTTGCTGCATTATTTTTGTTACCATCTGCATGATTGCTCCCTTCTAAAACACCACTGTTATCCTTCTGGAAACAGTGGAAAAAGGGAAGTAAAATGAAATACACTACAGAATACATGTGTCAAAGGCAAGCACACATAAAGCAAATAATATGCAAAGCAAGATAACTCCTACAGTTTGTTCTGTGCAATAATGGTCATTGGCCAACCTCCAACCTTGCGTTCCTGGGCTTTCTCTTTCATTTTATTACTATTACAGAAGACCTGGTTCTGCATTGTACTGACCTCCTCAAGTCCTTCAGAAGAATCAGTGACAACTGACAAAGTCCAAGACCACATACAATCAGACCTTTCAACGGTGAATTCATCTAAGCAAGCCTTTACCAGGCAGTAACACAATTCCTCATCATATGCTCTCATTTCTACCTAACGTAATTTAGATCACAAGATGCCACAGCATAAGGGGTGGAAAAATTCAAACATGACAACTCTGATGGACTTTCCAGAAGCTGCATTACCTTTGGCTCCCATTGCGTATAAATCCAGAAGGGCATTCTGCCATGCACTCATCGTTGTGAATCACAAACCTCTCATATTCGCTGGTTTCAGTGGCAGGGACTTTGGAGCAAAACTCTTTAGTCACACAGCGCCAGCCCTCGAACTTGTAGGTGTTAGGAGGGCAGGTGGGCATGCAGACTCCTTCGTAGTAGTAATTGCGGCAGGCCACGCAAGCGGTGTTGTTGTCAGGCGCTGTGCAGCTCCCCAAGCATTCGGGATGGCAACACTCATTTTGGTCTGTACAGGCTCGCTTGCCACATGAGCTGGGGCACACTGCAAGACAGAAAGCAAGGTAGCATGAACAAAAGCTTGTAAATAAAGTGAATGGCACTAAAGGAAAAAGCCCTGATCCATACAAGTCTATGCTTTCACTCCCTGGGCCCTCGCGTATCTGTGAAAAAGAACGAACCTCTGTAAAAGTGATAAATTAAATTCTGGTTTTGTCAGTTTTAGTTGCCTGAAAATATATTTTTCTCAGATCAGATTTTTAACAGGAGCCAATTAAACAATAAGGAAAACTGCTGAAAGCAAGATCAACATAAGGATAATGGAAACAGGCAAGGAACCTATTCCATAGCCCTAGTATTATGGTTAATTTTTTTTTTTGAGTGCTGACTTATTGTCTTTCTAAGCATTTCTTGTCTTCCCTATTTGTACTTCAAATTGGTCTTTTACTGGCAAGAAAACAAGCTTCCTTTTAACAACTTAATTACACTTGTACAATAAAGCACTGCTATACTGTAGCACACATGGTTAGGTTGACCCCAATGTAGCATCCCAATGTTGCTTATGTATGCAAAATGAGGTTTAATAAAGTACAGATGGTACACATCAAATACTGTGGAATCATGGAGCTACTATTTTCCCCTGAAGAACATGACAGAATTCTGCTTTATCCCCAAATTCCGGGTTCAGAGAACAAAATATGAAAGGGAGAAAAAAACGGCACAAATTTATGGAGACATTTGTTTCACGTGAAAGCATTTCAGCTTGGAAGACATGAACAAAGAGAGAATCGTCAGCAGACAAACTCACAACTGTTACATCAAAAGAAGTGGCAGCATTATATTTATGTAACAACAACATTTTGATTACAGCACTGTATGGCCTTTTAGCCATGCAAGTTGTGTGCCAGAGGCTCTGTAAACAAACACAGATAGGAAATCTGGTTTGGATTAAGTAACTGTTTTCCACTTTCTAACTTTGCTAAAACACAGTACCAATAATAACAGCATAAACCAAAATTTCAGTAGTACAACTACAGCAAGATCCAAGCAAAGCACCACAAGACATTTAAACTGAATGATGTGAGCAGAAAGCATATAACCAGCAAAGAAGTTATTATCCTGAAATGAACATGGAAGCAGCAGAGCCCAGCCTGTAGAGAAAGACAAGGTTTATGAAACTGTAACAGTTCCACCAAAGTTCTGCATGGTAATTTATCTTTCAGTGTGGATTTAATGAAGGACTGAACATCCTAAATTCCTGACCCTCTCATCATCCCATAATTAGGAGTAGGCTTTACAGTACAATTTTACAATGCTATTGAGCAAAGCACCACAATCACGACACGGGACCAAAAGCATGACGGTGCTATTAAGCAATAATTTAAAAAAACCACACCAAACCTAAAAATGTGTGTGTTCTTCTGAATCAGAATCTAGACATCTTATGTCAAGTTTTGATTATAAGAAGCCGGTTTTTGCCAGCTTTAAGGTAGTGTCCACCTTGAAAAGGACTTGTAAAACTGCATCAGAGAATGTTGCATTTCTTATCAAGATGGTTCTATATTGATCTCGCTTAATTTTTATAACTTTTTTTTTTTTTTTTAAGCCCTAACTGCCAACTTTGCAAGTTTAATCATCTGGGTACAAAGCAGAGTTCTCCTTATAAAATTAAGGGTAAGAAGGAATTTGTGGAGGAAATTCAACCTGCAGGTTCTCCCCAAGTAACCTAACGGCCTTAACAGTATGTCCCCTATATTAGCAGGCAGCTATGAAGTATCATCATCAGACCTGCTTACAGTATCTTACAGTGCTATTTCTTGTATATATGTAGCCACATACCACTAACACAACAGACTTGCATTAAAGATAGCTTGGATACACTGAATTGAATGCAGCAGGTCTGCTGGAGGAGAAGGTACTGCTGAAGCTGCCCAAGAGCTCACCTATCTTTTCCAATTAGAAAACAAACATTACTTACCCCTACAACCCTTTCCTTGCACATACTGTTACTATAACCCAACATCACTACTCCATACAACAATACTCATTTTTTCAGAATGAAACCAGGCATAAAAATAGAAAGGGGATGGAGGGGGGAGACTATGACAACAAGCTGATGGGAGCATGACCATGAGTGATGCTTGCCCAGGTAGACAAATATTACATGCAGGCCTAATTAAGAAAATTTTTGCAGAGCCAGTTACTTGTAAGACTACTCAGAGCAAGAATGCAGAGGAAATCACTGCTAAATAATGCATTGTGTAAAGATGTGGGATTTTCTTTTTTTCTTGAAAAGGAAAAAACAATTTACACCAAACCGTTACACAAGCATGCAGGTATATATTCTTTTTTTGATGGTAACTTGCACTAGTGTAAAGGATGTCTGGATGTCACTTTAGTAAGGCATCACAAATTGCCTTTCACCTTAAGGTATACAGTACTACTTGCATTTGCAACTACTAAGGAATTAAAAAAAATAAGCTTTTAAAAAAAAAAAAAAATCAACAGTGTGCCTTGCTAGCAGATGGACTGCTGTTCTGAGTGGGTGCCAGAACTCAGATTTCATGTGGTAGCTACATTTCCAGTTCAAAGCCCTACTAAGAAAAAAAACCACACACACCTCCCATGCCTCCACAAAATTAATTACTAGATCTATTGATTAACTACATGATTTTTTTGCTTTCATCTAGACAATTCTCTAAAAAAAACAAATGCTGCTACATTAAGTATTCAGATAAATATAGTAGAAAAAGATTGAGTTTATTTCATTCTTGGGAAAGACTTTTGTATTCCCTTAATGCCTCTGCCATTCATGAACAGTCTGCTATATAAATAGGATTCCCTACATCTCCTGGTAAATCTGCTGACTGTCGTCTACAGAAATGTAAATTAAAGCACAGAAGGATGTACAAGTTCACATGAAAAAGGCAATCAGTGAAACAGGTTTTCAAAACTATAGTAATATTTTAATTATAACCATTTTAACAAGAACTCTTGAAAACTTTTTAAAGATAATTTTTTAAAAGCTCAGCAACCTCACTTTTCTCTCAGTCCTATTTTTTGCTTGTTCTTGCTAACGTTGGCATAGTTTTCAGCCTGCAGACAATACGGGTATCCTGTTTCCTTGAAGAGGCAGAACAAGAACTTGTGTATGTGTGTAGGATATATTAACAACAACAAAAAGTCTTATCTGCCTTATGTGTCAGTTCTCTCAGATATCCCTGTTATAAAAATCTTACCAAACAACACTGGCTGGCCTTACAAATCCAGCCCCATCTACCCTCCCCCTGCCCTCCAAAACTGCTCCTTGGGCTGCTAGATTTTTACCAGAACTTTTAAAATGCAGGTTCCAAAATACTTTTGCCAAAAAAATCTCCTGAAATATGCTCAATTAACTTGTTGACTTTAGTCTGCAAGAACATGAGACAAGCGTAAGCCAATAGTGGGCTGACATCTGGGGACAGAATTTATCATCCAGGTACAACAGTACCTTGGATCACGAAGGCTGATGACTGTATACAAAAAACCCCAAACCCCTGAACAAATCCTTGCTGACAAGCACAAGGGCAAAAAATGCTTAATTGTCATCACATGGAGCTACCAAGATAATGGAAAATTTCAGAGACCTTGGAGGGCAGCCATGGAAGAAGGAAGACAAAGCAAGACCTGGAGAAGGGCAGACCCTTAAGCACCTTCATGACTTTAATAAAGAGATGATGAAGGCTTGACTAAACTGTCTATTTATATTTAGGGAGTGAAAATACTGAATAATCAACAGATCTTCAGAGAAGGACATTACAAGAGTACCAGTAGCCACAAAACAACTTTACTGGAGCAAAACCAGTAATAGTAGTTTCTTTGACCATTCATGTCTAACCTTTTGACTTGTACAAATGAGAAGTTTTTCTTGACAACCAAATTCAGGAGATTTTCAAAATACTATTAAGATATTATGATCCCTTACCAAAAAAAGTCTAAATATATCATTCCAAGATGTCAACTTAGTGAGCAAATCAGAATCAGATTCAACATACAGAAAGGAGATACCTTAAACTAAATACAAAGATCATGCAAACAAGAGGAGCTCCATGAGAATCTGACTCAGAGACTCATTCTCAATTAAAATCCCCAAGATGCTAAACCAAAATTGCAAACACAATGCAAGGTTGGGAAAACCTCAAACACAACTCTGAAGAAAAAAAAAAAAAAAAAAAAAAAAAAAAAAAAAAAAAAAAGCAGTTCCTTTTTGGACAGCCTCATGCTAAGGACGTGGTAGTAAGTTTGTCTGACATCTAATACCTCCCTGGTATTTGAAGTGCGCACAAAGCTAAAGCTCACTGCAAATACTCTGCGTTGACATCATGGCTATTGTACAGTTTGGACAGACAAAGTGTTCTTATCATCTCCAAGACGCCATGACTTCAGCAACGCTGAAACAGAAGAATCAGGTGAATAAACAATCAGTCACAGGGAGTGAAAATGCAGCCAGAAGACGAAGACTTCTGGCAAGCTGAGGCACTGGCCTCTGCCAAGGATGGCACCATGCCAGTCACATGCGGGCAAGCAATAGGTTGCCAAGTGTGGGATAAATATTTTTTTTAAGATTCTTTCTCTCCTTGTAAAATGATATTCGATCCTTTCTTTTTTTATACTGTTTCTGCTTTTTTAGAGCATCCTTCACGTAAAGTAATGTTTCAGAAGGGGGGGGGGG